CTTAACAACGATGACACCAATGAACATGCCAAAGTAGTTGGGGAAAAGTCCATTAGGCATCCATTGTACTTAAAGAACCATAGGTAAGAGAGGAAAGTTGAGGTTAGGAGAGGTAGTCTTCCTCAGGAAAGAGCACACTACTTGGTTTTCAAATGCCAAATGGTCATCTACCCAAAACACACACACACAGGTAGCATCATATAGACTGAATGGGTTATATTTAGGAATATCGATACACTTGCAGAAGCATATATGCATGTGATTCTAGTAAAAAAATAGTGCCTTTGGATTTGCTGTAGAGCAGGTAGGCCATGTTTTAGAGGGAGAAAAGGGGGAAATGGAAATATATTTTAGCAAAAAATGAAAAAAGATAATTTTGCTTGTTTAGAAATAGTAGAGTCTTTGAAAGGAATGACGGTTTCCAAAACTTAACAAAAAACAAAAGAACAAAGAGATGTTATGACCCAATTGGGTTTAACAGATATCTATAGAACATTCGGTCCAAACACAAAAGAATATACCTTCTCGCGGTGCCACATGGAACCTTCTCTAAAATTGGCCACATATTCAGCAACATGGCAAACCTGAACAGATTAAAAAATGGATTGGAATAACCCTCTATCTTATCAGACCACCATGCTTTACAGTTAGAATTCAACAACAACACAAATTGCAGAATCCCTACAAACTCATGGACATTGAACAATATGCAATTGCACCATTCCTGGGTCAAGGAAGAGATAAAAACAATAAATAAAAGACTTCCAAGAATTCAATGAGAATGAAGACACAACTTACCCAAACCTATGGGACGCTTTGAAAGCAGTACTAAGAGGAAAGTTCAGAGCACTAAGTGCCCACATGAAGAAACTGGAGAATAGTCACATGAGAGAATTAACAGCATGGCCAGGTGGTGGTGGCACATGCCTTTCATCCCAGTATTCAGAAGGCAGATGCAGACAGATCTCAGTGAGTTTGAGACCAGCCTGGTCTACAACAGCTAGTTCCAGAACATTCTTCAAAGCCACATAGAGAAACTCACCCTGGCATCTATTCCTCCTCCATGGGAATAATAAAATTGAGGACTGAAATCAATAAAGTAGAAACAAAGAAAACAATACAAAGAATCAATAAAACAGAGTTGGTTCTTTGAGAAAATCAGCAAGATAGACCAACTTTAATCCAAACTAACCAAAAGGTAGAGAGAGAACATGCAAATTAGCAAAATCAGAAATGAAAAGGGGGACATAACAACAGACACTGGGGAAACAATTCAAAATTTTTAGGAAACAGACTATTTTCTGGATAGATATCACTTGCCTAAATCAAGAACAGATAAGCAATATAAACAGACCTATAACCCCTAATGAAATAGAAGCAATCATTTAAAGTCTTCCCCCAAAAAAATCCTCAGGGCCAGATGGTTTCAGTGCATAATTCTAGTAGAAATTCAAGGAATACCTACTATCAATACTTCTCAAATTGTTTCACACAATAGAATCAGAAGGTTCATTGCCAAACTCTTTTTATGAGGCTATAATCACTTTGGTACCCAAGCCACACAAAGACACAACTAAGGAAGAGAGTCACAGACCAATTTTCCTCATGAATATTGCTGCAAAAATACTCAATAAAGTACTGGAAAATTGAATCCAAGAATACATCAGAGAAATCATCCACCATGGACAAGTAAGCTTCATACCAGGGATGCAAAGCTGGTTCAACATATGAAAATCCATGAATATAATCCACCATATAAACAAACTGAAAAAGGGAAATCACTAGATGCTGAAGAAAACTTTGACAATATCCAACACCACTTCGTGATAAAGGTCTTGGAGAGATCAGGGATAACAGGAACATAACTATACATAACAAAAGCAATATACAGAAGACTCAAATAGATCCATATTTATCACTATGTATAACACTTAAGTCCAAATGGACCTCAACATAAACCTAGCCACATTGAATCTTTTAGAAGAGAAAGAGGGAGGTACACTTGACCAAATTGGTACCAGAGACTACTTCCTGAACATAATACTAGTCACCAAGACACTGAGATCGACAACTGATAAATGGGAGCTCTTGTAACTGAGAAGCTTCAGTAAGGCAAAGGAAACAGTCAACACAACAAAACAGCAGTCCACAGAATTCGAAAAGACATTCAAATAACACCACATCTGATTGAGGGTAGATTTCCAAAATTTACAAAGAACTCAAGAAGCATGTCTCCAAAACATCAAAGGTTCCAATTAAAAGTGGGTTACATATCTAAGTAGAGAATTGTCAGTAGAGGAGCCTAAAATGGCTGAGAGACACTTAAGAAACTGCTCAACATCCTTAGCCATTAGGGAAATGCAAATCAAAACAACTCTGAGATACAATTTTGCCCCTGTCAGAATGGCTAAAATCAAAAATACCAGTTCAAGCAGAAGAGTATGTGGAGAAAGGGGAATACTCCTCCACTGCTGGTGATGTGCAAACTCATACATCCACTTTGGAAATCAATATTCATCAATTCCATTCCTAGGCATATATCTAAAAGATGCACATTTATACAACAAGACATCTTTTTCACTATATTCATAGCAGCATTATTTGCAATAGTCAGAACCTTGAAGCAACCTAGATGCTCCTCAACTGAAGAGTGTGTAGAGAAAATGTGGTACATTTACACAATGGAGTGGGAAAAGAAAAACAATAATGGGATCTTGAAAATTGAAGGCAAGTGGATGGAACTAGAAGAAACCATCCTGAGTGAGGTAACACAGTCACAAAAAGGCAAACATGTACTCACTCATATATGGATTTTAGACATAGAGCAAAGGATTAACAGCCTACAATCCATACTTCCTGAGTACCCTAAAAGAGACATACATGGTCCCCTGGAGAAGGGGAAAGAGAAAAGTTCTCCTGAGAAAATTGGGAGCATGAGGAAAGGGAAGAGGGAGTTAATAAAAAGAGAAGGTGAGAAGAGGAGGTTGGAGGAAGACATGAAGGAACGGGAAGACTGAGTAGGGGCAAGAATAGAGAAGAGTAAGAAAAGACATACCATAATAGAGGGAGCCATTATAGGTTTAAAGAGAAATCTGGCACTAGGGAAATGTCCAGAGGTCTATAAGAATAACCCCAAGTAACAATTTAAGCAATAGTGGAGAGGTTACCTTAAACACCTTCGAATATCCTGTGATTGACGACTACCTCATATGCCATCCTAGAGCCTTCAGCCAGTAGCTGATGGAAGCAGAAGCAGACACCCACAGCTAAACACTAAGCTGAACTCCTGGAATCCAGTGGAAGAGAGGGAGGAGTGATGAGCAAAGCGGTCAAGACCAGGCTGGATAAACCCACAGAAACAGGTGACCTGGACTAGAGGGTACTCATGGACCCCAGACTGATAGTTGGGAAACGAGTATAAAACTGACCCAGACCCCCTGAATATGGGTGTCAGTTAGGAGGCCTCAGCAATCTTTGGGGTCTCTCAGTAGATCAGTATTTATCCCTAGGGTATGAATGGACTTCCGGAGCCCATTCCACATAGAGGGATACTGTCTCCTCATAGACACATGGGGGAGGGTCTAAGCCCTGCATCAAATGATGTGACAGACTTTGAAGATCCCCAGTGTAAGGCATCACCCTCTCTGGGGAGCAGAAAGAGGATGGAATAGGGGTTGGCCATGGGAATAGGAGAAGGAAAGGGGGAGGGAACTGGGATTCACGTGTAAAACAAGCTTGTTTCTAATTTAAATTAAAAAAAAGGAAAAAAAAAAGAGCCAGACTTTCCCACTGATAAATCCCTTTTGCTTGTTCCATATAATACTTACTTTTAGATAATCTCTAATATTTTATTGAGGGTTTTTATCTATCCTTAGTTTTCTTGATTATGTTAATGTCCAGATTTGGTATGGGGCAATGCTGATTCCATAGAATGAGCTAGGAGGTTACATCTTATTTTGTCTTCTGGACAAAGCCAAGTTTCCTCCTTAGTTGTACTGTCTTATTCATTGGAAGTGTACCTGGGTCTGGTGCTTTCTGTTTCTTTTTCTGTTATGGGAATACTTCTATTCAGGCTGTCATGTTAATTCTTGCACACTGGTCTTTCCAAACTGTTGATCCATGTCATGTAGTTTTCTTAATTTGGGACATGGGGTAGTTCACAGATTGATTTCTTATTCCTGCCATGTCCACAAGATCAGCACTGGTATGACTTGCTTAATCAGTGATCTGGGTCTTCTTGGAGCTGGAGTAGTTAACTGAACCATGATGGTTGTTTCTGTGAGTTATGACTTCAGCAATGGTAATTTGAGAATCACTCAATGTCTTGGTTACGTATTTTCTTGCTGTGAAAAACCATCATGACCATGACAAACAGCTCTTATAAGGGAAACATTTAATTCAGGTGGCTCACTTACAGTTTCAGATGTTCAGTCCATTATCACGGTGGCTTGCAGGCAGACATGATGCTGGAATAGTGATTGGGAGTTCTATATCTTGCAGACAACAGGAAGTCAGCTGAGACCACTGGGCAATATCCTGAACATAGGAACCCTCAAAGTCTGACCAACAGTGACATACTTCCTCCAATAAGGCTATACTCACCCCAACAAAGACACACCCCCTAATAGTGCCACTTCCTCTGAGATTATGGGAGCCAATTACATTTAAAGTACCACACATGATATACCACATTCAAAGTAAAATTTTTCTTTGATTTTTTTGAGACAGGGCTTCTCTATGTAGCTTTATAGACCTTGAACTTACCGAGTTCCTCCTGCTTCTGCCTCACGAGGGCTGGGATTCATGGCATGTGCCACCACATCCCGGCTTGAAAGTAAAATATTGTACTATTAAAATAAAGATATTCAAAACATAGATGCTAATAACCCCCAAATTAAGCATTCAGATAAAAATCTAAAAATACACTCAGGACCATGTGAGGAATGATAGAAAACTGTGACTGAAGGAGTCAGAGGAAACTACCTCATGTTAAAAAGATAAGAAGACTCACATTAGGAAGATGGCAGCTCTTTCCTACTTGCTATGTAGTCTCAGTGTCAAAAATGCCACTGCTGTGATGCTACGAATGAGAACAGCCCCGTATTCTCATGTATTTGAATGTTTGGTCCCCAGTCAGGAGGAAGTGTTTGGGAAGGACTATGAGGTGTGGCCTTGTTGGAGCAGGTGTATAATTGGGGTTGGGCTTAGAAGTTTCTAAAGCCCACACCATTCCCTCTCCTGGGGTCCACTCTCCTTGGCCCCTTGCTTTTCTATCACATGTAATCTCTCAACAACCAATTCAGCACCATGCTTGCCTGCCTGCTGCCATGCTCCCCATTATGATGCACATGAACTCACCATCTAAAATTACAACCTTCAATGAACTCTTTTTGTAAGTGGCCTTGGTCATGGTGTCTCCTCAAAGCAATAGAACAGTAATTAAAGCAGCAGTTAGTACACACTTGACCATGATGGGATTTTGAGGAATGTGTAAGATTTTTGGACTTTGCACTAGGAAAGTGGCTGAATGCTGTAAACATCAAGTGAAGTCCTAGTATGAACTTCAAAGACAGTAGTGCTGAGTGCAATGTGCACTATAGAGGCCCAGGTCAATAGAATCCAGAGGAAATGATATCAGCTTCCAGTCTAGAGATGGTAATTGTGATATTTTGGCAAAACCATGGGTGCTTTCAGACCTTGTCCAAAGAGTCTCCCTGAAGCTAAATTTAAAAGCATTGGACTGATTTCTAGGCAGAGTATTTGAAGACAGTTTAACATTGATTCCACTGTGTGGTGCATAGAGATCACAGTTATATAGATCTACAATGAAAAAGAGCAACCAGGGCAAAAGAAAATACAAATGTACAGGAGAAAAAGATCACAAGACATTTAATGTTGGAGCCCTAGTTGGTACTGAAAAAGATAAAGAGAAAAGGAATAAAAGTAGTGGTACACTCGGGGCAGATCCTCCCCTCCTAATCCTGCAATTTGTGAGAAGAAAAGTCCTTGAGGGATGACTTGTCCCTAAAGAGCAACAGCAAATCCAGGCTTATGCCAATACAATTCAAGTAGGGTCCCTGATTCCAGGTTTCATCCTAAGCAGGCAGCAGAACTTGACAACATTGGTCATGTGGTTCTGGCATTACATTCATGAAGGAAACATATGTGAAGGGGTTGTGGAATCATCCTCTGTGGTTAAGGAAAGCTGCCGAGGCCAGCACCTGTCAGGGGTGTCCCTGCATAGAATCCTAGAGATGCCATTAGTGGAAGTTGTGAAGGTGAAGCCTGGATTTCACTGGAGACCCCAAGGTAATGAAGATGCCAGCGTCACAGGACATCTGCCAATGAAAGCTGCTAAGGGAGAGTAGCATGAGCTCAAGAGAAAGAATTCCATTGAAGTAAAAAAGGCAGACAGGAACAGGAGAGGTAAAGAGCCTTTGACATAAAACAGGAAAATGAGGAGTTTGGAGTTTGCCTTCCTGGGTTTGTTGTGCTATACTACAGTATTTCCTCACTAATCCTTATTCTTTTCTCTCTTTTCAAATGGAAATATGAATTTGGTAACATGGTATGTTGAAATAAAGAAATTGAGTTTTGCTTTCATGTGAGGTTACAATTAAAAGATTGTATGGATCTGAGAAGGGATTTTAGACTATGAAATAAGGTTGAGACTGAAAAACTATGGGGAATTTTAAAGTTTGACTAAGTGAATTTGCTTTCTGATACAGTTACAAGACTATAACAGACAAGAGAATGGAATGCACTGGTTTGAATAAAACCCCATAGGTGCATATTTTGAATGTTTGGTCTCCCTTTCAGGAGGCATCATGAGGTGTGTAATTTTCGAAGAGGCATGTCACTGGAAAATAATCTGCGGTATCAAAAACCCACAGAACATGGCCAAGGTCCCCTCTGTGGGTAGCAGAAGGACTGAAAATGGACAGGACTGGGTTTCTGACAGCACATGCAGGTGGAATTCAAAACATACACATAGGGCTTTACAGGATGACAAACTGTGAAGGCTGGGATAAGGAAAGTGATTGCTCGGTCACCTCTTCCTACCTCCCCACCCCACATTCTGAAGCCTTTGTGACATGGAGACAAGAACTCTGTGATGCAGGCATGGGCCCAGCTACCCACTCCCAGAAGGAACTCTAGGGGTTCAGTTGCTTGAGAGAAACAGTACAATTCAGATGGAGAATTTTCTCTCTCTTCTGGAAAGCGTTGATACTTCATGGATAACACCCAGCTTCACCACTTTGGCAATGGATATGATCCTAGCCTTTGTGTGTGGGCTGGGGATCTTTCACCTCTTATTACCCTTCCTTCCCCCTAATGCACCTTCAACTCCACTGGTAGAAAGGATCACTGCCAAAAAGGTAAGAATGGCTTAGCCCCAAACAACAGAGAATAGTTCCCCCTCTCTCCTTATAGGCTCCACTTTCCAAATTGAATAGGGTGGTAGCTGAAATGGGATTGCAGCCAACAGTAGAACCCCATCCTCTCAGAACTGGCAGGTAGGGCATGGAGACAGCGGGCCCCAAGACATCTGCTCTCTCACCATGCATGCCTGAGAGAAGCCCTGTGAGACTGTGGTCACGGGTAGTGTGCCTGGGATGGTTAGGGACCTATGAAAAGAGAAAGTTTCTGAGCACTGGTTCCTATGTCCCCCTCTAACATACAACCTTACAGGGTCCATGGAGCTGACATGAAGGGGTGATGAGCTCCAGGACATGAGTGAGCCTTTGGTTCCTCTGCAGAACCCTGACCAGTGACACTCATGGTAGCTCTCACAGAGATAGTCCCCATTTGAGTTTTCTAAGAGGAAAGGAACACATATTAGCATCCATTGTGGATAAGATGATGGAGCTGCATGTGCTGTCTGTCTCTGTCAGGTGGAGAGGAGTGCTCACAGCAATATCAGGAAGAAAATCAGGATCAAGAAATATAGACTGATTCTTTCCCCTGGAAAGGTGACTCATCCTCCTGCCCTTGAGTAATAACACCAAATGAGATGCAGCACCATGGAGGAGGCAGCTCCTTGGAAAGAACCCAGAATCGAAGACGCTTCCCAGGTTCTGTGCAAAGAATGAAGCCTTGGATGCCCAGGATTGGGTGATGCCTTGGAGGGGCAGTGTGGGAGGATTTCAGGGCAAATTTGTTGTTAAAGTTCTCTGAGACATTCTCCTCTGTCACAACATTGGTCCTTCCCACCACTCCAAAGGGAGGTTAAGACATCCATGGAATTCATTAGAAGTGGAAGCACCTGGCCTGTGGCATTTTTCTACCCACATAGACCTTACTGTCAATGCATTTGGGCATGTAGGCTTGCTCACAGTTGCCTGATCCCCTGTTTCCCTTTTCTTTTCTACTGACTGGACATTTCATTCAGTGTCTGGTAAGAAACCAGGTCCGTCCTTATTCCACCATAACCAAGTGTCTATTTCCAGCTTACAGAGGCAGCAGGAAGAAATTGAGGGAGGACAAGGCACTGGTTTCACTTCTGCACAGGTGAGCCATCTCCATTACTTGGGGCCACTTACTACTTCCCAGTTATGTGATCACCCCCAACCAGGGCATAAGGTTATCTAGGGAATAGGGATCTCTGCATGGGTGGGATGTGCGTACAGTCCTGGAGTTTAAGTCAACAGGGTCTTGTACAAAGCAGAGTTTGGAACAGAAGTCTGATGGGGTTCCAGGGTCCTTCCCCACTCAGATTGCCCAAACTCCAGACCCATATGCTCCTGGATGCATTTACATGTCCTGTCTCCTACAGCACCATAAGGAGGCTTGTCAATACCATCAGCTTCAGCCAGGTTTTAAGGCAAGATTCCCAGTTGAAGAGTCCAACCCTGAAGTTGCCAGAGCTGACCAGCCACCTCCGCAGCCCATAGAGGAATCTGTGGTCACAGATTTACCCATAGCAGAGTACTCTGCTCCTCTCAAGGAACAACTGCTGTCCAAAGATTCTAAAATCATGTCAACTGTCCAGGTGAATCCCTCAGCTTCTATTGAGTCACAGATGTCTGGGAGTGCCTCTCAACCACCAGAGACCTTGACACTAGGGAGATGCTGTTCACTACCACTGGTACCTTCCCACCTATTTCATCCTCCTGATCCTGTGGCATATGCTCCATCCGTTCCACATAGACAGATAGTAGCTCTTCAGTGAGACTGAAAAGCACTGGGGGCCCCACAGAGCATACCTCTGACAGGATTGCCATCTCCCATGTGAAACACATCACGCATTAACCATGCAGAACAGTCTAACTTTATCCCACCAAAAATTAACCACAAAAACATTCCTGCCTTGATCATCCCAGGCCTTATCAACTCATGCAGGCCTACCTCCACCACTCAAGGCCTTGACGACTCAAACAGTTCTTGTTCAACCACACTAGAACTTAATAACACATGCAGACCTACGTACAACTCTGCCGGTCTAGAAAGCTCAGGCAAGCCTACCTCAATTATGCCAGGTCATGAGTACTCAAGTAGGCCCACCTGTGTCACTCCAGGTCTTAATAGCTCAAAGAGGCCTACTGAAAGAACTCCAGGAGTAGACCACACAAACAGGCCTTCCTCAAACTCATTAGACATTAATAACACATACAGATCTATTTACCCCCTTGCAGGCCTTAAAAACTGTAGATCATGAGAGCTCAAACAGGCCTACCTCTAACAATCCAGGCCTTAAGAACACAAGCAGAACTACTTCTACAACTCTGGGCCTTGAAAATTCAACTAGGCCTACCTCAACATCTGGCATCCTTGACTACTCAAGCAGGCCTACCTTAAGCAGTTCAAGTCTTAACTGCTCATGCAAGCCTACCTCAACAACATTATGCCTTAACTACTCAAATAGGCCTATCTCAATTACCCCATCCATTGTCCACTCCAACAGGCCAGTCTCAGGCCCTACCTGGTCCAATATAGTTTCCAAAACTGGTGCCAGTCCAACTCATCACATGGTAAGGCCTTGTAAGAACATCTTTCTGTCAGGCTTCAAAAGGCCTCCTTCTGGAAAGGACCCACATACAGGCAGATACAGGCTGGGGAGCCAACATTCATTAACCCTGACATGCAGGAGATACTGGAATTTCAGATTAGTAAGAGAGTAGAACTCAAAGTATGGAAGGGGAAAGGAAAAGAAAGATCTGATTATATCTTGGTGTGCATGGGAAGTATGCTGCAGTCCTGGAGCCTCAAGCAGACCACTAGCACCTCAGGCCCCTTCTGGAGCCTAAAAAGCAAATCTGAGCAGCTTTCAGGTCATCACCAATTCTACTACCAAGAGGTCTCTATCAACCATATACAGGTCACAGGTAGCCAGTTTTCCTGGGGTCTCCCCTACCTCCTCAGTGGTTACACAGTGGCTACAGTCAATATGGCACGGTCTTCACTAGATCCCCCTGCCATCATCTTCAATGGACTCTGTCCTTACATACCAATAGAAATTTAGTCTGACATACATCAAGAGCTCATTTCTCCAAAGACTTTGCTTTATCACTTAGGGAAATCCCAATATTTAACCACAAAATGTCTGACTTACAAGCACCAGTGACTAGAAACCAAATGTGGAACAGTGATCCAACCACAATACCAAATCTACCATGCAATTCACCTCCAGCTAGGAATAATGGTGCTTCTCACACTAATGCTTCAAGAAACCAACTTAATGTCCCACCCGCTGTTCAAAACCTAGAAACTATATTTTGAAGAAACACCAAGAAAGAAGTAAAAATCTACCAGACAGGGTTAAAAAAAATCACAGGAAGCATTTCTTGAACTCACTTCAAAGAGGTGGGCCTCCAAGGGCCAGGCTTCCCTTGCCCATCTCCCAAGGGAAATCATTGACCCTGAGCTCCAGGAGCACATAGAGCAACACTTAAAAAAGCGATTTTGTCAACTCCATGTCCAATGGCCCCACAAGAATCAAGAATTGATACACATGATAAAACCTCAGAGGAACCACCTGGAATGGGTCAGGCAGAGGTGAATGATGGGACTGCATGTCCCTCAACATTGACAGATGAGAGCAGTCAACATCCACAGAGTGTCTCATCAAAGGTTCCAAAGACAGCCCAACTCCTAAAGGACCCATGCAAGGATCTAAACAACTGTTTAGGAAGCATATTGAATGACCTGGATAGGAGCCCATAAGGTTCCCTGGGCAAAGTTGTAGAGATTATCTCCGATGCAAAGGCAGAACCCAGCTACTTGAGACACCCAGGAGTTGGCACACCAAGTTTTGCCCTGGTGGGACCAGGAAAGGAGCATCTAGCAGGCACACTGCATATCCATTCAAGCAGGAAGTGCAAGCACATCCACAATAGCAAGATGGCCATGGAAAGAACATCCTTTCACGATTTGAACAGTCACAAGAAAGATTCTCAGGGGCCTTCTTTCCTAGATTCTGGTACGCAGAAGGTGCTAGAAACACATCTAACCAGATGTCTTGTGAAACTCTGGTGGAGCTTGGCCCTCAGAGGCCTCAAAACCATACCTATTTTTAACAGAAACAAGACTACCTCTGTGCCTTTTCAAATGCCCTCCAATGCCTCCTTGTCCTTAGGGGACTCTAGAGATAATTCCCTTCCCACAAATCTCAGTATCCTGGGAGAATCTTTTCAGCATGCCCCAGAAGAGACTGCAATGAAAGAGATTCCCCTGTGTAATCCTCAATCTGAAATTCCCGAGAGCTATTCTAACCAGGGAAACTCTGTGCCTGCTGAGGCCCCTACAAGTATCCAGGAGGATAATATGAAATCTATGTCCACTGCAGAGAGCCATTTAGGCAGATCCGGACACTTTAAAACTGTTCATAAATCTTGCACAGGTAAGCCAGTGTCAACTCCAGGCCTAATCAGAGGTATGTGTCAGTCACAAAAAAATGAGCATGTTTCATTAGGAAAGACAGACCAACCATTGTCACTTATGAGCAACAGTGTGGCATCCCAGTCAACAAGGAGTAGGAATACCAGGGAGCTGGAGAAGGCAGAGAACAAAGTGTCATGTGACTGGGCATTTACCACTGCAGCTCACAAGATGAGAAACTTTCTATACAACAATAAACATCTATGGATTTTGAATCTCTGGAGATCACTGAAAATCCATCCTCATCCAGAGCTTTTAATAAGACACCAGAATACTCAGGTCTGGGCACTCATCACTGCTCAGCCCCTGGGGTTTTCCTACTGGACCGTGCCACTGGCACATTGTTTCAAGATTGTGCCCCTGAGGTGGTTCTTGCTGCAGATATCAGGGCCTCCAAGTCCAGCTGTGTCACGACCACCTCGACCAGCAAGGAAGACGCGACTCAGGAATCCTTCTCACAGGCAGTTTATTCAGGACCTTGAACAAATCTTCTGACACCAGGGAGTGCCCGCCCACAGCTTAAAAAGGCCCTTGGGCGGCCAACCCCGGTAAGCCATGTGGCGACAGCAGATAGGTCCACATACGAGGAAGCAAGCCAGATATCCAGCCTTGACCAAATAAGGAGTTGTTTATCACAGAGAGCACTTGCTATCGGGCTAGCAGAGGCGAAAGCCAGCACCATCTTAAGGGTGCGGCATTTCACAGCTCTCTACACAGCTGCAAGACTGTGTCCACTACAAGTACATCAACCTCCCATGACAGGTTCCCTTTTCTGTCAAGTGAAGTGACTGTTCCCAAGATATCTAAACCACAGGAGCCATGGACTAGCCACATCTTTGCTTCAAATACCCAAAAGGATGACTATAGAAATCCCAGGCTCGACTTCTATCATTCAGCCAAAAGGCCTGCCCAAGCCTCCAAGTCAGATAGTCATGAAAAGAAGTTTGGGGATAAGATCAAATGCTTCATATTTTTAACCCTGAAAGGAAGTTCAATAAAAGTTAAGAAAAATTCACAACAGAAAGTCAAGGCCCCATCAGCCCCAACCCAAAGTCAAGGGTCAATGGGGAGCAGAGTATTCATGTCACATCCGGTCGCTGAAGCACAGAACCACATGACCTCGGCTGTATGGGTTCCAGTGGAGAAACACGGTGTCCACCATCAATGTGTTCACGCAAAGAATCTGCATGAACCATCTAAAGATTCAGTGTGTAGGCATGTCTGCCATCATAGAATTATCTACTCAAAGAAACACTAGCTGTGCTCAACAAGTTATCCCCAAGGTGCACAGACAAGCATCCACAGACAAAGGGATGCCCTATGGTTGTAACGGGGTTCAGATGTTGACACATGTGTCCCAAGCTGCTGTCTATCAGGGAGTAAGGCAGATACCACGTGTCCCTGGGACTCCCTATTCACTGTCCTAGGCACTGCCCCTTTAGAGTGGACATTATTGAAAAGAAGTACTTTTCTAAATGTGAAGTAATTAAACTTTCATTCATTCATTACTTTCTGTGTGTTTTGTCTGGAGGTTGTGTCTACAGTGTTAGGCCACAGGGAAATGGCTGCATCTGGTCTACCTCAGCACTGCTTCTGGAGGGGATAGGCTCCTCGAAGAGGAGACAGTGGCAATTGAAGTCTCACCATCTCCTGGTTCCATCATTGTAGCGACTGTTAATTTTACTGTAATTATGGAAGCAGAAGTAAAGGTTTTGTGGGGTTGGCAGTTGTCAACCCTACAAGACACAAACAAGAAATACTTAGGAGTGATGTGGACATAATAAATCAAAACAATAAGACCCATACAAGCCTTGAGGATTGGGGAGTGCTAAATTAACCCTGTCAGATACCACCCTTAGGGCCAGCTTTTACCATTTCTTTCTCCTGATTTGCTCTAACATGAACTTTATGTAGCTATATACAGAGACTCAAAGAAGCAGCCCAATGTCACCAAGCAGGCACAGGGCTTACGTTTTTCAAAGTAGGAGAACCATAACCCCTGGATATCCTCCCAAGAAAGAAAGGACCTGGGGACTTTCAGGACCCTCTATCAACTCAAAGTGGCTGCCACCCAGATGAGTTCTCCAGGCCTCCCAGCTCAGCCTGGATGACAAAGCAGTGTCACCCTGTCATGTGTCAGCCTCCAATGCCAGAATGGTGGCCAGCATTGAACTGACAACTTTCATGAGTGTGGCAGCTCTGAATGCTTGCCGAGGGTCTCATGATGCCTGGTCATTTGTACTTCCTTCTTGTCCACTCTATATGCAGCGCCCCTCTGCATGATTAGCCCAAGGAGCGAGGTAGAAAACAAAAAGGTTAGAGCCAAGCAGGAGGCCGCTTAACATGAGGATGCCCTAAACCTTTCCATGCATGTGTAGCCCCTGCCCTCCTTGTTTAGACTGTGTATACCAAGGTCTGTGTCATTCACCCCAGGCCCTTCAACTTGGACTGGAGGAGCCTTTTAGCTTTAAAGGAGTTGAAGCAAATCCAAGGAATGAAGATCAGCTTCCTCACAGCAGGTCTATTAAGTGTCTCCTTCCATTGCATGCCTGGTGCTAAGAACCGTGCACCATCCTTAGACATCAGTTTCCTGCTCCTGAGCAGCTGCTGTGGATTGCATGGAACTCTCGATTTTAGATCTTGGCATTTGTTACTTCCTGGAAAGAAATAGAACAGGAGAGACGGAAGCAGCCACACATAAACTGTAAACGCCTAGCCAGAGCGCTTTCTATCATCTCTCACGAGCCAGCTCAACAGATGGGAAAGATTCTTTTTATCTCCACAGCATTATTATAAAGCACATTCATGAAGTGAAACCTGCCTTTCTGTCTCAAACCACTTTCACTGATTATGCCTTGTTTTTGTTTTTGTTTTTGATTTTTTGGTTTTTCGAGACAGGGTTTCTCTGTATTGTTTTGGAGGCTATCGGTCCAGCCCAGCCTCGAACTCACAGAGATCCGCCTGCCTCTGCCTCCCGAGTGCTGGGATTAAAGGCGTGTGCCACCACCGCCCGGCTTGATTATGCCTTGTTTAACCTTGAGTCTTGAGAAGTCTCTGGCTCTAAAAAAAATAATAAGTTTGATTCCTCTGGAGTTTTCTATTCTTTGCTGAAAATGAAAGTTATATATATACATATGCATATATAAATGCATATACATATAAATACATTATATATTATATATATTAAAGTAAGTGAATTTAAATATATGTTTCATAGGTGATCACAAATCTTCCTCTTCCAATGGATTTGAGTTAAATGGCAGACATTAAATGTAAAAGATGTGAATCAAGCACATAAGTATTCTTTTTTCTCGGTTGAACTAAGAATTCTTACTTATACCCAAGCTCTCCATTATTCATCTCAGAAATGTGAGACGTGTTAATTAGAAACTTATATAAAGATGTTCATTTTTTCTTTCCCCATACAACAATGGTTTTAGCTCAGAACCTATTAGGTGAGTGAAAAAGGCAATTTATAGCCGCTGGAAAAACAGCTATAAAATCTAGAATAGTGGGGGCTGGAGAGATGTCTCAGTGGTTAAGAAAACTTGTTGTTCTTGCAGAGGACCTGGGTTCTGTGCCCAGTCCCACACCAGGAAGCTCACAAACACCTCTAACTCCAGCTCCAGGGGGTCCGATTCCTTCTTCTGACCTCCACAGACACCTGTATACATACACACACACCAATATTTTTTTTAATCTGAAAAGAGATTAGTATCAAATAAAGAATCAATTGATAGAGGAAACCTTTGGGGAAAACCCAATTCAGTAGAACATTACCACGTTAGAGCACCATTGTTCAATTAGCAGAAAACATTTTCAAGAATATGTGAAATCTTGTAGCCGTAAGAAAACAATCTTGGAAACCAGTTAAAGCATGGCACTTCTTGTGTCCTTCAACAGTGGGTTGGACAAGAAACATGGACCTTAGTCACTGGGGGTTTGGAGTACTACAGATCCATTGCAGGAAATTCACCTCCTCCTGGTTATTGTGAATATTCCACATTTCTAACCTCTTTCCTTCTCTGTCATTTCATCAGCACATTACTCTGTCACAGAAAGATCCTAGTCCCTGCCTCTCTCTGGCTTCCAGGCCAAGTCCTTCAGCATTTACTAAACCTGTGTTGCTCCTTTCACCACTGAGAAAAACATTCATCTTCTCTAAGTACCTCCCCTTCCTGGAACAACATGGAAGGAACACAGTTTTGCAAGATGAGCTGACTGTTCATTGTTTGTGAAGAGTGGACATTTCTGGGTAAGAATGGAGAGAGATGCATATTAGCCCTGTGTAAAATCTTATAATTCTGGGTCTAGTGAAGCAAGACTCTGACCCCAGACAAGAATTTGCGTCTTGTGTAATATCTCTTTATAAAGATGCGATTGCTAACTAGTGAAAAGTGGGAGTTGGTCATTCCAGATACTTCAGTATAACAATGTGACAATTGTTTCTCAGTGTAATTGACAAGTTAAAGACTGAGTGTCTAAAGCGATGATTCAGCAAATGCTCTGCTAACTTCAGCTTTAAAGAACTAAATCTTGTTTGTGGAGACATCTGCTATCAGTATATGTTGCATTTGAGGAATCTTTTGCTTCTGTTTTCTGAACATATTTTTGTATAATAAAATGTAAGTACCACGAGGAATATGAAAACATGACTTCAAAAAAATGAGAAAGGAGGGGCTAAAAGGTGACTAGGCAGGCAAATGCAGTGGCTGTGAGCGCCTATTTCCTGGACTGCTTGGTGAGCACATGAATGCTCTACACATTGCTGAACTGTGTAAGAGTTCTATAAAAAGCTTCAGCTGAAATATTTGTGGAAATTTTAATAAAAAATTAAAGACTCTAAAAATGGTCCAAAAGATATGCAAGAAGTTAAAAAAAACTACAAAACTAAAAATTTACTAAAACATTTTAAGAGCAGTAACAATCTATAACCCATTCCTGTGGCAGTTCAATATTAGGAAAACAGCTTTTACATTCTAAGAGACTGGAATTTTTGCTGGACCTCACAGCCAAAGTTAATTATATACCTGGAGGTTACTTAAGAATTAAGACTGCTATCCTACTGTGTAGCCAGCTTGTTTAACCTGCCTTAAGAGAGCAATGGAGCATGCCTTGAATTTCCCATGTAATCAACTTTTACAACCTAAGCTGATGCATAGCTAGAATCTTAATTACGTACTCTTCCATAACCCCGACCAAAAATAATGCATGACTATCATTTGCTGAAAACAACAAAAGTAGAGGTTGAAAGAAATCTTGTAACATGAATATTCACCATAAATATTGACTACCACATTTGGACAGTGCTGAGTAAACAATACAGGGGTTGGAGAGATGGCTCATTGTGTAAAAGCATTGACTGCTCTTCTGGGGAACACTGGTTCAATTCCTAGCACCCACGTGGCAACTCACACCTGTCTGTAACTCCAGTTCCAGGGCTTCTGACACCCTCATACAGACATGCATGCAGGCAAAACTCCATTCAACATTAAATAAAAGTAAATTGTTAATAAATTATT